CCCCCCTTTTTTTTTTCAAAAGTTGCTGCTCACAGGAAAAATGTGTTGATGAATGAAGCTCTTATACAAAGTGAGTTGCTGACAGCTCTGGAGACCAGGGGAAGCAATTCATTTGCAGCGCAAGTGCGATATGTTGAGATCAGTCCCTCAGATGTCCCAGATGCCTGAACATTTTGAAAGAGTCACAGGCCTGTGCTGGCACTGGAAATCCAGCAGTGCTCCAGATGAATCGATGTCATTACCTGTCTGTATGAATCAGACATCCGCTGGTTTAATTTCCATTTATAATTTCTGAGGCCGACTACAGTGGGCCGGTAAGTGGCTTTACATTTCTGTCTACTGAAGAGACAGACTATAAACGTCCTGCTTTATCAAGGGATATGGAATAATCCAGGATGAGGCAACAGCATGCAGACGTTTTATCGCTTCTACACTGTGAAATGATAATTGGATCCACTGTTTCCTTTGCTTTTGTGATATCAGCCTTACGGCACTTTTTTGGCAACATGGGAAGAAATTTATATAGCAGGGGAAGGAGTCCATTTTTCCTCTTTACTTAATGCAGCTATTTTTTTCCAGTGCAAGACCTTCAAGGCAATTGTGACAGTCATTTGAGTCTTGTATTATTTATAACTGATTTAGATGAAACACCACTGAAGTGCTGTCTAAAAAAAAGGCTCTCTCCTGTCACTGCAGCTCTTAAAAGTCCACCTTGCACTTTAAGTCATTGACCCTCCCTCTCTTCTATTCATCGCTGAACAAATGCCATTGCTTGTAGAGAGGCTTGCTTTTATTCACCCGCTGTGAATTCCATTAGAAGCAGGGATACACAATAGAGCATTTTTAAGCCTTTGTAATGGACTGGGGTCATGGCGTGATATGTAGGTTATAATGTATAAAGGATTGGTTAAATATATGCTACTGCTATATTGTTTTTTACATTATAGGCAAGGCTTTTCACCTATATCCTAAGCGCTACTCCAGGTTTGTCGCATAGGAACTCACCTGAATATGTCATTGACAAATTATTTATGTGATCATGACCCAAAACATCCAGAACAATGTGTTTGCGTGTGTGCATGTGTTGGTTTGATGGTGGCATTTATAAAAGTCATCATAATGGTACTGGTACTGTGAGATGTGTAAATATGAAAACAGTATAGAAAGCATGCTCTACCTGTTGAATCATATGAAGCTCCACTACTCAGTTCTGAGTTTTTATTTATTTATTTATTTATGTTATTACGTGGTGGCTTATCTCATGCCAACAAACAACACCTTTAGTGTGGGAAATGTTTTGACAAGGGGTCTATTAAGCTATTGAATTTAGGGCATATAGAACAAATGACTGTGGCTATAGGGTGCAGAGAGGTTTGCTTAGCATGTTGTATAGCTGTGCTGTTAATGTGAGCAGCTAGAACTCCCATCCAAAACTCCCAAATTCATAGTTATTTGATTATACATAATTAAAAAAAGATGATCATGTCTCTCATGTAGACATACATTTACTATGATTCATAATCTACTGTCCATCCATCCATCCATTTTCCTCCGCTTATCCGGGACCGGGTCGCGGGGGCAGCAGTCTAAGCAACGATGCCCAGACTTCCCTCTCTCCCG